TTTCTGGAGGTACTAGCTATTTCTGTATTTCTCTCATTGGAGCCTAAATGGTTAATCTATAGCTTAGAAAATTCACTAGTACAACTGCAAAACTTTATTCAGTCCAACATCAACAGACTTTTGCCAACCTTTTTAATTATGCCAAATATCCTGGGATCTTTAGTATGAAATAATTGAGAAGACTAAAGAAATTGAGTAGCACCTAAAACAGTACTGAGAACTATTTCAGTAACCTCTAAATATGAGGGTGCAAGTAAGGTTTATAATTGCAAGAAGTATAATAATTTATTCATTAAAAACACATTTACACATCTCAGAATACTTCTGATACATCACAAATGAAATACATACACACAAAAATACACAAAAAATACACACACACACACACACACACACACAAACTTCCTTCAGTCTGAGCCAAGTTCTTGATGACTTTGTGAACACATCCATGAAGGTTTCTTGACAACACTGCAGATATGTGTACTTCCTAATTTAGCCTACTTCCTGTCTGAGAAGCCACCTTCACTTACTTTTCTTCCAAGTCCAAAGCTGGCTAAGTGCCATCACTTACTACAAAACTTCATGTTCAATTGTAGCTTAATAAAGATGCAATACAAAAAGGGAGAACCTTCCATTGTGACATGCTTCTAACATCTTACTTACTTACTTATTTATTTATTTACATTTCGCATGTATGAGTATTGCTTTTTTGCCAAATTTATTTATTTATATCCCTCTACTATTTTTATAAATAACTCAAAACAGCAAAGTTACCCAATATTCCTTCCTCCTTTTTCTCCAAAACAACAACACTGTGAGAAACTTTCTTGCTGGAGATGTATATAATTTCCAAAAAACATAAAGGATTCTTAGTTTAAGTTGTAAAAGTAATTCCTCACAAATTTTTACCTTTTTAATGACTTTTAGCTTGTTCTCTAGCTTTGATTTGAGCTCTGATCTTTGATTTGGTGTTGATCTCTGTGGCTTAGGCCTAGGAATTTCCAGTGGCTCTCTTAGGCAGGATAAAAGATGCCAAACTGCCCATGAAAACTACCGTGGTCTCTTTTCAACATCTCTACACATAAACCTCTAGTAATACATATCATTATGCCATAATAATCAGTGGATGCTACTTGCCAAAACCGGACACAGTATAGTGACATCACAGCTTTCCTATTGTCATTGAGAAGAGAAGCAGAAGGATATGTAAAGTTGCTTTTACTAGCAGCCAACTTGTATTTTATTACATTTTGTTCCAGCTTTGTCACAGAGAATGTTTCAACTAGTCTGACCAATACATGGTGAAGCATCAATCTATCCTAGGATACAGAACATGTATTAGGTGTGTTTTCTTGAAAGGATTTAGGCTTGTATCCCAGCCCAGGACAGAATCTGTTGGTCACCAAAGCCCTCAATTCTAATGTTCCTTGCTCCAGACATTCTTCCTCTCATTAAGGCAGAATTAATAAAGGGGGCAAAAGCAAACAACTACTTCTTCTACCAGTGCAGGTATGGTTTACAGAAAGTATGGAGAAATTGTTGCTGAGTTACAACTTCCACCAGTACTCATCATTGGCCTTGTTGGCCAAGCTTGCTTAAAGATGTAGCTCTGGAGGGCCATGGTTTCCCCATTGTAGGAGATAACCAGGCTGAGCCCGAGGGATGGGTCAAATGCATCATCAGTCATGAGTCCCTGCATGCCCATAAGAGATCTAAGTCACACGCACCTTGAATTCCTTTCTATCCTTAACTCCCATTACTAGTTCAGATTCTTGTAGAGAGCTTAAGTTTACAATAAATCTTTATACACGTTTGAACTGCTTGATTTTCCTGGTGCTTGACACCCCTGCTTGTTCTGAATAGCAAGAGTGACTGAATTACTAGTGAAAACTTTGGCAGGGAGTTGATTTGTCAAGAGAAGGGAGAATCACTGAGGATATCTTGCTCAAGAGTCTTCTTTCTCAAAACCAAGGGTTGCTATCTTGTGAAATTATTTGCACATGCCTTCCACAATGGAAGAACCGATTGCTCACTCCACTGGGAGTTTAATGATGCCGATATGCAGAATAATTTCTTTTTCTTTCTCCATAGATATCTTCTTCTTCTGCATGTGTGCTTTAGGTCATGAGATGGCAGCTTCCCAACTTTAATGCTCAGCAGCCAGGAATTTAGCCTATTTACTGTACAAATAAATGGATTTTATCTTTTGGCACTGGACTTTTTTCTAACCTGAGTCAGGATATTATTTTAATGAAATACAAACCCATAAGGGTTCCCTCTGATTAGGGTGGCAAGCATGACCAGTTAAGTTAGACCTGGCAATAAAACACATGAGAAATGCAAGCATGGAGGTTCTCTGAGTGACAGGAAAGGGAGAGGCAAGCCCAGCAATCTTTAGATCACAAGCATGGTTTATTTTGGGCAACATCCATTATGATCTGATCTCACTTCTCATCTTATCACAATGGGAACAGGAAGGGATCATTTCATGGCTCATTGTTATAGAGAAGAAATGTAACAAAAGTCAAGCTCCTTAACAATCAGGGTTTCCTGTACGTTTTTGCAGATATGTGGCATGGGCATAATTGAATATGATGGTCAGCATATTAAAATATTTTCATGCCAGAAAAGTTATATCAATTTGTCTGAAAATAAGTAGTGTAACTATAAAGGGGACGCCATAGTCCTATAGTGGTCTTTTAATTACTCTAACTGCAATCTCATTCTTGTCACTTCTACACCCAAAGGTGCTTTTTCAAAAGGCAACTGGACTTTGTTTTTCCTTGAAGATGTTTTACTTCTCCTCCAAGAAGCTTCTCTAGTTTTGACTGAATGGTGGAGAATGACAGGATTTATATTCCTTGAAGTCATCTGGTCGCTAGCACTCTTTCTTTTCAGTGGTCCTCAATAGTGCAAATGGGTGTGCAATGATCAATGTTTCCAGCTTCTTAAGACACCAGCTATCTTCTGTTTACAACACAGTCCTTTCAGCAGTTCCAAGAAGATTCCACACTCATTTGCATTATTCAGGTGACCCTGAGGGCACAGATAAATCTCCAAGTGGGCTTAACGACTCTCAGAAAGAGTGCTAACAACCAGATGACCACAAGGAGTAGAAATCCTTCCATCCGCCACCATTCAGTCAGAACTGAAGAAGCTTCTTGGATGAAAAGCAAAATATCTTCAAGTAAAAAACAAAGTCCAGTTGCCTTTTGAAGAAACACCTTTGGGACAACCATGACTTGGATGACTGAGAATCTCCATAGATATATCACTTCTAGAGTTTCCATAACATAGACTGACATAACATTGTATTAACTCAGTTCATGCATATAGGATGGACGCATCTGGCCAATTTTTCCATGAGAGCATAACCTCAGTGTCCTTATGGCAATGGGTGACTGGCTCACTGGAAGTACCCATTGATTGGGTGGAAACATTGATCATTCCTCTGTTACAATTTCAAGATTGTTAACATGACAAAGCTATCTACAGAAAGCAAATCTACAAAGATTGTCCTAAGAGATGGACTAATATTTTTATTAATGCACAGAGGGATTTAACATAAACACTGCTCATTTAGCAAAGCCATTATTAACAAAGAATTTATCTTTCAAAGCAGCAAGCAGCTTCATTTTCAGCACAGGTCATAAACCAGGTCACATTGCTTTTTGAGCTAATGTTACATAATATATGCAGGAGTTACTGAGGTCAGTTGGGTCAAAATTTAACTAATATTTAATTTTGTCAGTAACAAATATGGATTAGACATTTACTTAACATTGCCCAAACATTTATGTGCTTAAATTTTTCAATAAAGATAATTTGATATTTTCATCAAATATTTAAAGCCACTTGAATTCAAACTATAATTTTCCTTTTTCAATGGCAAGTAAGTCAAATCAAATATATTTAATGAAGATATATGAATTAAAGTAAAATAGATAGCAATAGCATTTTTATGATATGTTAACATTTCTGTTATGATATGTTAACAATCCTGTAAAAGTATCTTCATCTGTGAAAAGGCTACCTGGTTGTTGTATTCACAGTAACAGTATGCTTTCATTAAAAAGGGTGGGGGAAATTCCTGAGATTTGGGGGTGGTTATGAACTCTTTGTAATTTGTAGAAAAATGCTAATTGCTCATCCCTGGCTACCTCTACTTCTCCATAGAAGGAGTATTCTTATAATATCTTGTTTTGGGATTATGCAAAGCTAGAAAGGTGAAAAACTTTAATAATAATTATGCAATAAAAGATAGCAAAATACTCACACTCCTTTCTTAATCAGAACTAATGTAAATTCAAAGTGCCCACATCCCAATCATGAAAATTTCATCCTTTTTTTTTTCTTTAGGAGAAAAAGAATCCAAACATTGCTTCTTTTCCATCACATAAATGGTTAAAAAGTCCAAATGTTAGATAACTAACTCAAAGAAAGAGAAAAAATGGGAAATTGCATTACAGCTGACCAGCTATCTACTCACTTTCACTAAAACTATGCATCACTATTCTATAAAGAGCTAAGAATTTTTTGTGACCCCTTGACTCTGCAAGTGTTAGTTAGACTAGAGGTAGTCCTCAACTTATGACCCCAATTGACCTTAAAATTTATGTTGCTAAGTCAGACATTTATTAAGTGAGCTTTGCCCCATTTACGACCTTTCTTGCCACAGTTGTTAAGTGAATCATTTCAGTTGTTAAATTAGTAATATAGTTGTTACGTGAATCTGGCTTTCCCATTGACTTTGCTTGTCAGAAGGTCACAAGATCACGACTGCAGCCATCATAGATATAAACCAGCTGCTAAGCATCTGAAGTTTGATCACATGACCATGAGGATCCTACAATGGATGTAAGTGTGAAAAATGATCATAAGTCACTTTTTTCAGTGCTGTTGTAACTTTGAACAGTCACTAAATGAAGTGTTGTAAGATGAGGACTACCTGTATATTTTATTATTGATTTAACATTAAGGCACTGAAACCAACATCTTACCTTCTGATAATTTGGAGGATGTATGAACAGAGTTGGGATCCACGTCTTCATCAGGCTGGTAATGATAAAGTGTTTGAGATTGTTTGGGGGCTATCCAATTACGGTCTTCTTTCAAGGCAATCAGCGATGATGGTGTCGGATTAAATTTGACTTCAGGGAAGTTATCTCTTTTGGATTCCTTGAAATCCAATGACTTGGGTACTTTTAATTTCTGGTCTTTTTTCATGTTTAGTTTGATTCTAAAATGAGGATTTTCTCCTTGCTCAATTCTCTCATGGTTGATCGCATTTTGTCTCTCCACTTCGGCCCCATTCCGGGGTGTCTCTGTTGTTGCCATGACTTCTTCCTTTAACACACTATTTGTAGTGGTCATCTTATATCTTTGTGGTGCTTCAGTTGTTGATCCTGTGCTTGTATTCATCCTGACCTTGCTATTTTCATTGTTGCTCCTGTTTTCTGGATGATTTAGGAGAGGGATATTTGTGCTGGTTTGTTGTGGCAATGCTGGGTCTGAAACAGACTGAGTCAGTGAAGGTGGAGTAACACTGCTTGCAAGATAGTCATAATCCTCACTTTGTTCTTGGCCTATGCTCTCTTGTTCCAATTGTGTTGAATAACTGTAGTACTTTTTGGGTGGCTCCACCTGAGTGGTGTCCCCTTCTGGTGCCTCTTGGTCATAACTGTAGGGATCATCATAGTGCTGCTCTACTTCCATGGTATCAGATGGATTAGGGGAGGTTAATGTGGATTCATTACAATCTGGGAGCTGATAGCACATGAGGTCACCGCCAGAATTAGGGCAATGGCACACTTTGCACGTAGGCATGTGGAATGTATGTCCTGCAGCATATTTCTGGTCTTCGTGGACACAGCCTATTCTTCCACATTCGGGACATCCATCTGCTGGTAGCACAGCATCAATGCAGTTTTGTGGAAGGTCTGGACATAACATAAACTGGCAGCTGATTTTACCTCCACCTTTGGGACAAGAACATTCTGTGCTTCCAAAGTCGACCAAATAGGACTGTCCTTCAGGCACTTTTCCATTGACAAAGCCTACGTTCACACAATCATAGTACTGGTATCCTTCGCAAGTACAGCCATTGTGCAGACAAGAGGCGCAGCATTCTCCAGGCTCTAGAACTTCTTCAATGCAATTTTCTGGCTGCTTACACTCCACACCTGTACAATCCTTCTGTGCTGTTGCAATGCCAGTCCAAATAAGCACCAAAAGGACAGTGTTCATACAATGTAAATGGAACATTTGGTGCGTATCCATAATCTTCCTAAATATCTTTGGCAAGCATTCAGTTTTTCTAATCTTTAATGGGCTTCTTTTCCTTTCTTTACTACTCCCTTGAACTTCTTGTTCATCCAGCTCTTGGTCAGAAATATTTCCCTGGATTCTGTTTTGGAACTAGAGCCTAGGTTTATGAAAGAGAACTTTGTTAAAGACTATACTTCACACATATCCTGGTAAACATTAGAGATATTTTTAAAAATGGATAAAGCTCCAACATCTGGAGACCGACATAAAATTAATCATAACCCACATCCAAGTGTAGACACCAAACTTCAGACTACATTTTTAAAATTTATTCTCTTACTTTCTTAAATTTCTTACTCTTACTTTTTTAAAAAAAAGCATTTAAGAAGTGTCTTTTTATCTATTTATAAAATAAACACCAAGTAAAATTAAAAAGCAAAGTTTTTTTTGAGGTACTTCTTTTTACAGATTTAATATTCTTGGGTGTATTTTTCTTAGTTCTAACTTTTAAAATAATTATTGACAAAAAAAGACAATTCTTTCTCATACTGATACAGTCTGAATGTGTTTTAGCATTATATCATGTTCTGTTTTCTGATGGACATATGAATGGCAAAATAGCATCAAAATATTAATTCGAATTAGTTTTGAATTTGGGCCCAATAAAGTCTGACTATAACTTAGAAAGTTGCATTCCACCAAAATATTTTTTCTCACCTCCAATTTAACTTACTTGCAGTAAATGTCCATTGCAGGACCTCTGTGAAGCACTAACTGCTGCAATGAGTAAGAACGGGACAATGTGTGGTCACCAGGAACCATAAGAAAGACCTGCAATGAAAGTAGGGATATTAGAAATCAGGAAACTATTTTCTCAATGTTATTGCACCTAACATGAGTCTTTATCACTAAAGTATTATTGGGAGCACAGAAGAGCCAAAAGTTCATTTGGCTTGGTCTAAAAATCATTTGTCTTTAGTGTTGAACACAAAGCATTTCTTTGAGCCCTTTCTCAATCTTGTAGGTCAAGTGGAATATCACTATATTTATAAAGATCTGGGTACTGTTATGTTCTTACTCAGAACATTTGTTATTATTTCCTGTGATACCCAAAGAATAAAGTAAATGACCATAGAGCAACACATCTCAATAGGAGGTCAAAATGTCATGTAGAGTCAGGGAAACAAATTATTTCTGTCTACCTACTTCTGCTATGATGTTGAAAATGAAAATCCTGACCCTCATGGTTCTGGACATCCCTGTAGGAAAGATTGGTTCCACTGCATATTAGCTCTGGAGAACACAGTGGCTATGTCTGAACTGCTTTCCTTTATCACTCATAAAATATATAAACTTACTATTAAAATTCTTTGCAACAATAATTTTTTTTAACTTTCACTTTTCAAACATCGGACACCCACCTAAGAATGTTCATCTAGCTTCAAATGCACACACAAACCCTACATACCATCAAACAACTTTGGTTTGCTTTAAAGACTTCTGTTTTTTATTAGATATGTATGTACATCTAATATGGCATTACAAAAGCAAAAATTAAAATCTGAGTTAAAAAGAAAACTGATAATACAATTCAGATGGTGATGGCAAAAATCTTCTAGCATGTACTTTTGTACATGAAGGTACTGATGATACATACTGGCTTAAGCCCCTTCCAAATCAACATGTTAAACCAAAATTGATATAAAGACGATATAAAAGAATTGAATTGGTACACTTGGCATCAAAAGGGAAAATCCATTCACTGATCATTCCAGCACAAGTTTCTCAACCGGATGCCCTCAAATTTTGTTTAAATTGGATTGGTTGTCCCAAAGGTGTTTTTCCAAAAGGCAACTGGACTTTCTTGGGGTGATTTTGTTTTGTTTTGAAATGTTTTATGTCTCATCCAAAAATCTTCTTCAGTACAGAACTTGGATAAGAAGTGAAGCTTAAAAAAAAAAAAAAGTTCAGCTATGACCTGGATTCTATGGAAAATCTCCATGGACAATTGGACACCAAGTCTAGATAGCATTAGTTGATCTAAAGACCCAGGATGGCTGAATTCAAGAGTCATAATCTCAGCTATACCAATATCAACCACTGTCCTTCTCTGAAAGTCATATGAAGAATATATGAAGGTAATCCGCACATTGACATGTTTACAATACTTCTATTTATTTATTTATTTTATTTTATTGGAATTTGTCAAGCAAAAATAAGAAGAAGAATAAGAGAATAAAAATACAATGACAGGGACCATAGGCACATTAGTGTACTTATGCATGCCCCCTCTACTGACCACTTAAGTATGAAGTAAGGTCCACGGAAGTCAATTTGTGACTGAAACTGTAAACATTTGTACCTGAGACAATTGAATCAGGTAGGGTATTCCAGACGTTGACAACTCTATTATAGAAATCATATTTTTTACAGTCAAGTTTAGAATGATTTACATTGAGTTTAAAGCAGTTGTTCGCACGCCTACTACTGCGATTAAAACAGAAAAAGTCATTTACACGTAAAACATTACTACGCATAATTTTGTATGCAAAATTCTGGGTCTGACCGCAAGTGACGCAATTCTAAGTTATACAAACCAAGAATTTCGAGCCTAGTAGCATAGGGAATTCTATTATGTACAGAAGCGTGCAAGGCTTTTCTCGTGAGGTACTTCTGAACCTGCTCATTTGTACCGATGTCAGCTATATGGTGGGGATTTCAAACAGTTGAACTATACTCTAAAATTGGTCTAGCTTAAGTTTTATAAGCTCTAGTTAGCAATACAATGTTTCCAGAAAAAAAGCTTCGCAAAATTAAGTTTACAACTCTTCATGTTTTACCAACGCTGTTACAGTGAACTTTGGAGCATAAATTGTCAGAGATAAGTACACCTAGGTCCTTAACAAATGTAGAGTCATCTGCTAGATCAATGCCACCTAGCTTATACTTGACATTCTGATTACGTTTACCAATATTAAGACAGAGCATTTATTAATTGAAATTTGAAGTTGCCAAATAGATGACCATTCAGACACATAGTCGAGATCACTTTGCAAAACAACAGAATTATCTGTAGAATTGAATAATTTTATATCATTGGCAAAAAGAATGCAATTGCTTTTAAGTTGATCAGATAAATCGTTGATATAGAGCAAAGAAAGTGTGGGACCTAAAATGCTGCCTTGCATCACTGTTAACTGATGCAAGATTAGACAGTGAGTTCCCTATTTTGACTTTCTGCAGTCTATTAGACAAGAAAGCAGCAATCCACTTGTGCAAAGGTCCAGAAATGCTGTAAGCGTTTAATTTCAACAGCAGTTTATCATGTACTACTGTATCAAAAGCCTTACAAAAAATCTATGTAAATTGCATCAACAGCTTTACCTTGATCAAGACTTGTAGTCCAGATGTTTTTACAGTGCAAAAGTTGTAAATTACAGGATGAGATTTTCCTAAAGCCAAACTGTTTTTCAGATAGCAAATTATTTGTCTCTAAGTGGTGATTGATGGATTGGTTTATAATTGATCCCATAATTTTGCATGTAACACAGCTCAAAGAAATTGGTCTATAATTTTCGACTGAACTAAAAATTGGTATAACTATAGCTGATGATCATAGATCAGACAGGGAACTAGTTCAAAATGATACTTCAAAAATTGTACACAAAGGTTCAGCTAAGACGGTAGCAAGCTTTTTCAGGAAATATCTATCTTCTCCCATTTTCTGGTATCTCTCATTAAACTTAGTAGTCCTTGAACTGAATTGTACATGCAATTAATACATTTCAACTTATTTTATTCATGATATTACAATGTTATTTTTTAAAAACAAAACCCTATGACGTCTAAGGACAGGAAGGTTTCTTTTGTCATAAACAAAAGATTTCCCATGCATGGTTGTGAATGATTTAAACCCCAATTACAGTGATCTGTTAAAAATATCACTTCTACATATACTCTCAAAAACCTGAGAACTTGATGTACCAAAATGCATCCCCAAAATTGGATTGATTTTACCTGTGAGAGTTTATAAAGCTCTCTTTTTTAAAGTACCTGTATATCCGACAGTTTATTCGAGAGTTTATAAAGCAATTATTTTTTAATATGTATATCCTATATATATTCATGTATAGGCTCATCTACAAATAAATTGATCCTCAAAATATCATGAAGATGATAATCTGTGGATTACCCATGGGCAATCTTATTGTGCAAATTAAAACATGCAAAGGTTCAATTTATTTACAAGTGATACATTTTTTACAATTTTGGTTAAAAACTCAGGGATCATCTTATCCATGGTTGAGCTTATACCCAAGTATATCTGGTATAGCAATTATGGACCTAACTCTTAGTTTGTTCTGAAGATGGTGTAGTATAACAGCAGTTATTTAAAATATGCTTTTATGATATAAAAGCTGTCACTTGATAATGTATTAGGTCTCTGTAAATCAATCCTGATTAGATACATAGCTACAAAATTGAAAATGGGCAAAAGAGTTTCATTTGAGCTACTTCAAGCTTTGATTTGAATATTTGTTCATTAGCTAGAATTAGCTAGAAAACCTCATTTTTTACAGGATGAGGTAAAAATATCAGGAATGGATTAGTATATAATAAAATACCTTATGCCACCAGACTTGAAATTCTAGGCTTAGAAAACTTAGAACTACGCCGCCTTCGTTATGACTTAAGCGTAGCTCATAAAATTATCTGCTACAATGTCCTACCTGTCAATGACTACTTCAGCTTCAACCACAACAATACATGAACACACAATAGATACAAATTTAAAGTGAACCGCTTCAAACTCGATTGCAGAAAATATGACTTCAGCAACAGAGTGGTCAATGTCTGGAATGCACTACCTGACTCTGTGGGTTTTCATCCCCAAACCCCCAAAATGTTAACCTTAGACTGGCTATTGTTGACCTCACCCCATTCCTAAGAGGTCTGTAAGGGGCGTGCGTAAGAGCACCAGCATGCCTACCGTCCCTGTCCTAATGTTCCCTTTATTTGTATTCATTTTATATATTCAATTCATGCTTATATTTATATTATCTAATACGTACTTGACAAAATAAATAAATATATGTAATCCTTTATAGTAGTGGTTCTCAAGTTGTGGTCCACAAGTTGTGTTGTAGAGTAACAAGAGGGTGGGCACATCTGACTGGCAATCTTGGAAAGTACCCCCTGGTTTGGGTTATCTGATGTTTGAACAGGCAAAGTAAAACAAAGACAATTAGAAAGCAGAATAAATGAGGGGAAGGAAGCGTAAACTGTTTAAGTTTCTTGGCATCCACAACAAAAGTTACAGTAGAAATCTGCAAACAAAATGTACTTAAGCCTACATACATATGAGATTCCTTTTACCAGCATTAGAAAGACTGGTTTTTCAATTGCAGGAATGTGCTAGAGCCAGTTAAGATGCAAAAGCTTTCAGTCTGCAACTGATTAAGGTCTTGTCCTTTCATGCAGCAGGACAAGCTGGCTGGAGGCTACTAATCAACTAATTAAAAACACAGAGCAGAGCTTGTTAACTTATGGTTAGCACTTAAAAAAGTGCTGCTCCACACAGAGCAAAGCTCCTCAGGAAGAGTAAGTTTGTTAGACACTAAAACACACACTCAGCCAGACAATATTTGATTTTAAAGCTATGCTTTCTGAAAGGAAGACATGAGGAGTAAGAAGACATATCCACCTTTTGCCAGAGGTCTGATAACCCTATCCCTGGCATACTAGCAAGACCCGAGTATTTCAGTAGTATAGTTTACTGATAATATTCTCCAACAGATAACTTATAGTAGCAGAGGTGGCAGTCTCTCGTA